AGGTAGGGCGCCTGGCGCCATTCAAGAGAGAGAGCTACATTGGGTTATGCTGTTGGTGTTGCCCGATTGGGCTTGGACATTGACTCACGATTCTTTTGTATCCTTCTCAAATGGATGGTTACTCGGTTCCATTGTGCTATCTGCTCTTGCTTTGACTACTTGGACTTCAGTGTGATTTTGCAATCTGGATTTCTGTGCTTCCTCCACATTCATGTTCCTTGCATTTTGGTATCGGAGCTGCTTCGATTCGCCACTTACCTTGGTGTGCTGGCGCTATACAGACTTGGTGCGTTGATGATGCTTCTTCGCAGTTTGTTCTTGTGACGTCAAGCGAACATTAGGCGCACGACCTGGGTAGAGAGGTGTGCACCGGAAGGCTATACGGCATGGTATGCCGTGGTTACAGCAGAATGTATGATTGGTGATGAGAGCATGCTGATGTGGCATTTAGCTGAGGTGGCACTGCATTGCGTTGTGGGTGGTACCGAGGCTACGACTGGTCATCAAATGCACACTCAGCTCAATTGGTGAGAAATCTGTGGTTGGGGGCAGCTATCTCCAGGTACGTTGTTCCCTTACCTTATCTACTCTCTCAATCTCTTCTTACCGCGAGGAAGTGAGTCCAACTTGAGAGTCTTCTCTTTTGGTGAGGTGTCGTGTGCGCGCTACCTTGAGAGACGAAAATCTTCCCGGAAGCATCTAGAAGGAGAAAGGGCGGTGCCTCTGAAGGGCCCTGGTCGAAGCACTGGGTCACGGTCACCATGCCAACCCAATGGGAGTAGGTCACGCATGCGATGGCTGCTTGTCCATTTTGGCACTTTGCTGCGCTATAGAAGTCGTGCCGGGTGTGCCAGCCCATAAGAGACGCTTACCAGACCGTCTATAAATACTTCTGGTTGGGAACTCGATTGATACTGGCTGTGATCATCGTCCTGACTGCGAGGTTAAATAATTCCTGAGGAGATGGGGGCTCTCCTTAAATCCCTTCTGATCAGCCAGATCAATCCGGGTAGTAAGGCTCGTTCCGTACGAGGGTAAATAAGAGTGGATAGGCTGGCTTGCTCGACAATGACTTGGGGCACAGGGGTGGGCCGACACAACACACGAAGACACTGCTGCTCAAAGATGATTTTCGGTATGTTGGATTGAGGGAAGGGTAGGTTCTAATTGGTGCTCAACTGGAAAACACAACCATACCCACTGTTCATACATCTGCAACATAGTCTTGTTTTTGTTATTGATTAGTTGGTGGACGGACTACTAACACCTCACAGACAGTTAGTATAGGACTGTTGTATGCTACCATAGCCAGTTCTATGCAAAACTTTTGTAAGTGAACTAATCAAGATAGAACTAAGTATGTTGACAGTCTTTTGTGAATGTTGTAGGCTGCCACTTGATCGGTCAAGTAGGGGACCTGCCGGACACATTTATTTTTAGAAAATTAGGTGCCGGTCAGACACATGCTGTGGTAGGACTCCAACAGGGAGTTGTAGTGCAGACAATGTTTGCCTAACTGATGAGCGGGTCAGACACCAATGAGGGTAGAGTTGGCAATGCGAGACTGACACGTTCGAGATCACGTAGGGTCCCGCACGTGTTCCAGACCCTACAACCGGGAAACGAAGCTCGGCTACATGCCGAACGTAGAGCCCGTGCTCTTGCAGCAGCGAGGGCAGCGTCAAACCTAACAGCTAGAGAACAGGCAGCGGCAGCCAGAGCAGCAGCAATGGCTAACGGCGCAGCCTCTGCTGCATCCTCGTCTGGGACTCAGTTGGGGATGCCCCTTGGATCCCCGAGTACTTCCGGATCAGAAGGTTCTGGTCAGTCCACAAGGCAAATGGCGGGCTCGCAGTTAAGCCCGTTGACCCCACGCGGTAGGGAGCTCCTAGAGCTCCAACAGGTCGAAAGGATCCGCGAGCGGTTAGAGAGGGAACTGAAACAAGCAACCGACAAAGAAAGGGAAATAAAAAATAGAACAGCCAGGCTTGATACGTTAGAGGCAGACAAAGCTGCACTAGAGGGTTTGGATGAGTCAGCCATGTCTGACCAAGTGAAAATATTAAAGAACAGCATGTTGTTGCTGCATGCTCATGTGGACAGCAGGCTGGACTTCATGCAGAACTTTTTAGACCAGATCTTGGACCTTTTGCAAAGGCCAGGATTCAGGCCAGCAGCGCAGTCGCCGTTGCCGTTAACGGCGAGGTCAGGCCCCTTTCAGGTACAAGCTGGCACACAACCAAGTGGTACGTCTGCAGCAGCCGCACAGACTGTTGCTTCTTCTTCTTCTGGGTCAGCAGTGGTTGCTACACCATCACCGCAACAACCTGTTCCTCAACAGGGACAGCAGCAAGGTCAATGGTACCCAAAGACCCCTATGAAACCGCCCCTTGCCTTCTCCGGAGAGAAGAAGGATGAGGAACTCAACACATGGTTGAGAACGGTTCCAGTGTGGGTAAGGGCAAAGAGGACTTTGCAGGAGGAGGAGGTGATTACTGCTGCATCTTACCTTGAGGGTAAGGCAGCCAAATGGCTAGATGGATTAGTAGCCAAGGCCGGGTACGAACGACAAATGGCAGATTGGGCTAAGACCCTTACGCTAGAACAGTTCTTAGAAATGGTAGAAGCTCGCTGGCACAATCCACAATAGGCACAAATTGCCACTGATGCGGTGCATAGACTAGACCAACGAAAGTTTCAGTCAGAGAGTTAACGACTACCGTTGAGAGCCTCATCGTCGTACCCGGCATACACTACGATGACCAGGTCTTATTGACCATGTTTGTGAGATGCCTCCCAGAGAATCTTAGGAACTTACTAGCCAGCGAGGCTCGCCTCAAGTATCACTCGTTTGAGACACTATCTAGAAAAGCCTTAGACTTAGAGGCTACTCTAGGGAGTGCTCAGCCTACTCAAGTAGACACAAGGAAGAAGAAGAGTCCACATGAATGGAAGAAGAAGGGGAGCAAATTGATGATGGTTGAGTCCGATGGGACTCAAACTGAGATCGAAGAGCTCACATACCTGTTGGACTATTCAGAGTACGACGGCGAGGAAATCGCTGAGGGTAGCACCCTCGCCGCAGTTGTAAAGACTAAGGCCGGTGGCCGAGGGAAGGGCCATCAAAAGAGTCAAGGGCAGGCCGCCTCCAATCAGACCAAAGTCGGTGATTGGGTCAAGGCAGGTCTGGATCAAGAATTGTGGCGGGGCCGCCGAGTGCGTGGTGCTTGCATTAACTGTGGTGAATACGAACACACCCAGTATAAGTGCAAGAACGCAAAGGTCACGCAGAAGATACCTCCTAAGATGGGGGCACCTTCTTCCCAGGCTTCTAGCTCGGGAAACACCTAAGGCCGGTGGAAGTATTAGCTGCTTTTACTCAAAGTGAAGTGGGCCAGATACCCTCCCCACTTCATGAGCGGGCCATAGCTAATGACTCTTTAGTCACCCTACAGACTCATCCAGACTAAACCATGCTTTGTACGTTGGATGTGTCTGAAGCCTTAGAAGATTTGGAAAGTGAGTGGTCAAGTAAGGACCCTCGTGAATCTTGGGTGGCACTAAGGAAAGGTCCTAGAGGGGAACATTTCGTTGTGGAAGTTGATGTAGGAGGCCGCAAATGTGGTGTTTTCATAGACATCGGCTCCACGCGGAACTACATAAGTCGCGACTGTTTGGAAAGGCTGCACCTCTAGGACCGGATACAGCACCTTAGTAGACCCGTAGCATCTACTTTGGCCAATAAGGAGCGCATGATTGTCACAGACTATATCAAGGATGTAGTCTGCACCTTCTCCTATGGAGGAGGGGAAATTAATCACAAGATTTCATTCCTGGTTAGCGACCACTTACCGTTTGATATGCTGTTAGGAATGTACAACCTTGAGGTTGCCAAGCCCCAGTTTGACTAGGACAAGAAGGTGCTAAAGCATAAGTTGCCTGATGGAAGAACAGTTAGACTGACTAAGTTCAAAGCCAGTAGTATAATCTATACCTATGGCTGCTTGTGTGCATCAGCGTTCTATAACTATTATAAACAGAACCAAGAGGAGGGTATGTACCTAGTGTATGTCTCTGAGAAAGGGGCGGCCGTTAAAACACCCCCAGAGATAGAACACGTCGTTGCTAAGTTCCCTGATCTGTTTAAGGAGCCTACAGGAGTCGTAGAGAGGGAGATTGTCCACGCCATAGAAATCATTCCAGGGAGTAAAACCCCAAAGGGAAGGATCTATAGGATGGCTCCGGTCGAGTTGGACGAGCTTCAACGACAACTAAAAGAGCTTACAGAGAAGGGATGGATCCGGCCGAGTACTTCCCCCTACGGATCTCCAGTGCTATTCGTACCGAAGAAGGGGGGTACATTGAGGATGTGCATTGATTATAGAGGCCTCAATGCCATCACAGTAAAGAACGCAGAGCCTCTACCTCGCATAGACGACCTATTGGATAGGGTGCAGGGATGTAAGTACTATAGCAAGATAGACTTAAAATCCGACTACCATCAGACTGCAATAAGACCTGAGGATCAGCACAAGACTGCTTTTCAGACCAGATACGGTCTGTATGAGTTTGTAGTGATGCCCTTTGGCCTTTGCAATGCGCCGGGAACATTCCAGTACGCCATGAATAGGATCTTCCATGACCACTTAGATAAGTTTGTCGTAGTCTACCTTGACGATATTCTTATCTTTAGTAAGTCTGTCGAAGAGCATGCACATCCCGTTGAGACTGTACTTTCACTCTTGCGACAGCACAAGTATAAGGTCAACTTAGAGAAATGTGAGTTCGGACGCACTAAGATCTTATACTTGGGTCATGAAGTATCCGTGGAAGGTATTAGGCCGGAAGATGCGAAGGTGGCTAGTATCAGGGACTGGCCACGACCTCAGACTGTTACTGAGGTCAGATCTTTCTTAGGAATGTGCGACTACTATAGGAACTTTGTGAAGAATTATTCCAAAATCGCCTCTCCTTTGACTGATCTAACTCAACTTGACATGCCGTGGGACAAGAGTGATGAGTGCGAGGCTGTTTTCAAACGATTGAAGCATGCACTCATGAATCATGAGGTTCTTATGGTGCCCGATCCTCAGAAGCCATTTATAGTGACCACTGACGCAAGCCAATACGACATTGGCGCAGTGCTGGCTCAACAGCATGAGAAAAATTTGAGACCGATTGAGTACATGAGCAAAAAGATGCCATCAAAGAAACTGGCAAAATCCACCTACGAAAGGGAACTCTATGCTCTCTACAAGGCACTTGTCCATTGGAGGCACTTTTTGTTAGGACGGTTCTTCTATTTCAGAACTGACCATCAGAGCCTTAAATGGATCAAGACTCAACCGGCTCTTTCTTATGCACTCAAGCGTTGAATTGAGGTCATAGATTAGTATGACTTCAAGCTAGAGTATCTGAAGGGAGAGTACAACAAGGTTGCAGATGCACTGTCACGTAGAGCAGACTACCTAGGCGCACTAGTTTCGGACTTTGGTGTATCTGAGGAACTAACTCAATCGCTGGTGGGAGCCTATCAGGAAGACCCTGTCACGATGGATATCATACGCAAACTTCAGGCAAAAGATAAGGCCACAAAAAATGAGTTTGTGATGGTGGACGGGCTTCTCTTTCTTTATAAGGCCGAATTTAAAAGATTAGTTGTACCATCTAGTGAACGTTTGCGTAGTTTATTCTTAGGAGAATGTCATGACGCAACCGGACACTCTGGCTACAAAAAGACGAGTGCCAATTTAGTACAGCGATTTTGGTGGCCTGGAATGCTAGATGACGCAAAGAAGTATGTAGAGACCTGTCAGGTCTGTCAGCGGGACAAGCCGCGAACTCAAGCACCGCTTGGGTTGCTGAAGCCCTTACCTATCCCCGCTGGTCCAGGACAGAGTGTTTCCATGGACTTCATGGACACCCTGGTGACTAGTAGGAGTGGCAAGAGTCACATCTTTGTCATCATTGATCAATTCACCAAATACGCTAGACTAATTGCCATGCCAGAGACCGCAAGGACTGACCACGTCATCAAGTTGTTTATGGACAACTGGGTACATGATTTTGGACTACCAAAGTCAATCGTTAGTGACAGAGATGTCTGATTCACAAGTGAGTTGTAGAAGAAGACTGTTGAGCAGATGGGCAGTCAACTTCAGATGACTTCAGGGAATCATCCCGAAGCCAACGGACAGGCCGAACAGATGAACAGATGAACAGAGTTGTACAACACCTGTTGAGGAATTACATCAAGCCCAACCAGGATGACTGGGATGAGAAGTTGCCTCTCATAGCCAGTCTGTACAACAACGTTGTACACAGCAGTACCGACGTTAGTCCTAATCAGCTACACTTGGGATGGAAGCTTAGATCATCCATGGACTTCCTCCTGCCTGAAAATCGACCCTCTGCAACTCCAGGCACACTGAGGATGGAAGCTTAGAACAAACATCGTCGGCAGTCCTCATTTCAAGTAGGGGAACGTGTCTGGGTCAAGGCTAGTGAGTTAGGACAGGAATTCGGAATCTCTCGCAAACTAATGCCTCAGTATTTTGGCCCATGGGAAGTCCTGGATATAGTTGGGGATGAGATGGATGATCCTACCTATGTTATTCGTATCCCTGGTCACTTACGCACTCACCCTGTCTTTCATGCCTCAAAGCTTGCACCTTTTGCTGAGACAGATCAATTCCCTTGAAGGAGATCGATGCTGCCCCCAACCATGGATGGTCAAGTGGACATCGACGACATTGTGGATCACAGAGATCTGCCTGTTCCAAAGCCACTGGGTAGAGGAAGACCTCCAAAACCCAAGCGGGAGTATCGCGTCAGATTCAGGCATCATACGGATCCGAAGGAAGGCCGGTGGTTCACCAGAGAGGAACTGATTGACACACCTCCTCAAGTGGTGGCCGAATATGAGAGAATGTTAAAAGGGAAGGCACCTGCGAAGTAAGCATCTCAGCAGACTTTCGAAGCTAAGGGGGATGGAATGTGAGGATTGAGCCCTCAAGAAGGGGCCTTGCCATGATGTACATGTTCTGGGCTAAGGCCCCAGCAAGCCTCGTGCCCGCCCTAAGTAAAGGCGGGCCAGCAAATCAACAAGAGCCCTCTGTGCCAACATTTCACGAAGTGGGGTCCATACAATTGCAGCACGCCAGTTGGTTGGAGTGCACCAAGTATCGGAGCTCTGCAAATGCAGAAATCCCAGGTCCCCAGAGTTGGTTAGGCCCTGGGCACATAAACATGAGGCCGACAATGCATGCTGGATATAGAGGCCGAAAATGCCAATGGGAAACCGGTCCACTATCTGAATCTGGCCGCAGGCCTTGATGAAAGAGGCRCAACTGCATCTCCTGGGCCCCAACCGSATTGGGCCTGGGTACAGGTACYRGGGCCCAGACGCAGGCTCAWGGGAGGCCGCCCACACGSAACACTGGCAKATAGGCAGGGAGAGYGAGTGGGCAGGGATCTTKGCCAATGCAGGCATTGYGGGCACGCTGYTGCATTGTAGCGCTGCAMTTGCGCTGCGGCTGAGGGAGACAGGCTAGCGCTAAGCRGTAGAGTGCAGCCTGGGCGYAGGGCGYTGGCGGCCATAGCCGGGCTGCCKKTGGGCGSAGAGGGGGYGRRGGGCGAAGGTGGTTCTTCGGAGGTGAAGGGCRCTGTGTGGGATAACAAGGGAGARTGAGGGTGAAGAGAGAGACGTACCTGGTGGAGAGGAGGTCGRCATTGGTGTTGACATCATCACTCGCTGGTCGTCAAGTTGTCTSGTTGCCTTCATGCTGTAGTTGTAGTGATAGGYTGTWGAGTAGGTAGGGCGCCTGGCGCCATTCAAGAGAGAGAGCTACATTGGGTTATGCTGTTGGTGTTGCCCGATTGGGCTTGGACATTGACTCACGATTCTT